GGGGTGCTAGGGGCATCCCTGTGCCATCCTGCCTGTGCTACCTGCCAGATCCCATCACCTCCTGCCGGCTGCAGAGGCTGGCAGAGCGAGGATGCAGCCTGGGTTTGCACACGCTGGCACGAGGCTGCCGTCAGCAGAGAGGGACCCCCTGCAAAGGCAGGCTCCGTGCCTGCGGCCCCCTGCCACAACCCGGCCGCGCACACCCTGCTAGCGCTTCACCATCAGCCCTGTTCTCCAGGGTTCCCCGCCGGGGAGGAGGATGCTCCTGGGCACCTTGCAGAACGTGATCCAGGACGGCCAGCTCTCTACTCAGCCCCAGGAAACCCAGGGGTCCCTTAGAGCTCCCGAACTTTGGGAGGAAAGGGAGGGGGAGTACTGATGTCCATTGGAACGACAATGCCCATTTGAACCAAGAGACAGGCACTTTCCTTATAAGCAGAGTACTGCTGTGACTTGTTCCTCCCGCTGCCTCGCTGAGCTTCCTAAACCCATTCCTTCTCCTATTCAAGAATGAATCCTTGTCATCCCTGCGCAAGTCCCGCCTGCAATACATACAGCGCTGCGAGGAGCTGGAGAAAGCCAAGCAACTGAGTGCCAAGGCGGAGGACGAATACCAGAGCGCAGCCGTCGCCAACCCTGGCAGTGCCACCAAGCAGCTGGAGAAGCGACGCCGTTCTTGCGAGGAGGCACAAGCCAAGGTGACGAGTTCAGACCAGGCTGCTGGTATTCCCAGCCATCCCACACACTGTCTTACGGCATCTTCCCACCCGTCCTGGTCACTTTCTCCTCCTTTGCTCCATTTCTGATCACACACAGGTTCAGGAAACAGAAGTTTTGTACAAGATGTGCATCAGCGATGCCAACTTTCGACGGCAAGAACTGGAGAAAGTACGAGCACGGATCGTCTCCCACATTCGGAAGCTCATTTACCAAGGGGATGAGGTGCTGACGTGGGTACGTGTAGCCTCATAATTTCTCCTCTAATCCTCGTTTCAGGGAAACTCCTGTTTGGGATAAGACCTCTAGGCTCTTTGCCATTTCACTGTTGAACCACCCTATAAGTGACCATTCTCAAGCAGCTGAAATTAGGGAAGTGCTCTGGACATTGCTTTGCTACCAACCTGCTACCAAAAAATCTCAGATACATAATCACATTTTCAATTACTACTGCTTTGAGGACACAGATATCCACAGAAAAAGTCTAGGGGGAAAAGAATCCTAGAACAAGAAACAGTGACAAATAATATTTATCTGACCTGTTAAGTAGAACTATCAATAAGCAGAAGTGCAGGTAACTGAGTTTGAGTAATGAAAAACTGAAGACTGATAAATGACTGTGAGATCCAAGGGAGGAAAAAGCACCTGGGCTTTGACTAGCAATGGGACTTTTTGTTTTCTTTCCCCTGCAAGGTCACTTTAAGGATGTTCAAGCAGCGGCAGACCCAGTCGGAACAGATTCCAGTGGGATACCAGTACCTGTCTGAGGTCTGCAAGCCATACAAAGTGGGCGAGAAATACCTGGAATTCATTCAGGCTCTGCAGAAGAAAGACATTCATATGGAAGTGTTTGAATTTGAGCCACTCGCTTCTGGAGGGCAGAGGTAAAAAAAAAAAAAAAAAAAAAAAATTTTTTTTGAGAGGAAAAAAAAAAAAAAAAAAAAAAAAAAAAAAAATTGGAAACCTTACTCCTAGCTGAAAGGTCAGAAACATATAGTGCACAGAGCAAAAAACCAAAAAGTTTAAACCACATTTATAAAGTCACTAGCAACGCTGCAGCGTTGTGATTGCTAATTACAGAAAAGCCCACAGCCTCAGATGTTAGGATCGTCTCTCTGCGTAGCTCCGCTAATGAAGAACAGATCTCTAAAGGTGCGCTTGGGTCCTTCTGCCGAGCACGGGACCAACATCAGTAAAAGCAGGGCAGCTGTTTCGTACCGTGTCCCTTCAGTTATTTCTACCATTTGCCAAAGATTTGGATCGCTCTTTTCTCACATGGGTGCTGTTTGATTTCTAAATTTTGCCTGCGGATAGAAAAGGTGAAATTATATTGAACAAATTTGTTTTCCTAGTTTTGTGCAAGTGTTTATTATAGCCTCCTTGAAAACTCAGCTTACACCTGTAAGCTGCCCGAAACAGGTGCTTTGTCTCAGGTACCCATTAGGCACCTCGGTGATGGAATACCGTCCGTTATTCGTCACTGCTGGAAAATTGTTTGTAACCCCTTCTCAGGTCCCCTCCCAGCAGCAAAAAGAAGATGGCATTGCATTACGCCGGACCCTCTTCTGCAGCAAAGGATGCGAGCACTCCAGAAGATACGTCCAGAAAGCAGTTCTCCACAAACGGCGAACAGAGTAGGTTGAATTTATTAAAGATGACCCAATTTTCTCTTGAGTCGCTGTAGTTTAGTTTAGATTAGTAGCCAAAGAGGTGGGAGAGATTCTCAAATTCTTAGGGCAGCGCTTAAGGTTTTGCTCAGACTGGGAGAAAATATTGACAAGTATTTATGGATTCTCTTGGGAGCTTGGTTTGGACTTCAACCCCGTGTTGAAGTATCCCTAGAGCACTCGGGATGGTCTGTCACCGTACCCACCTTCCGCAGGTGCGAACAAATCCCTCTGCAGCGACACAGAAAGCCTTGGTGGGAGTTGTGAATCCCGGTCCCTCGACTCTCCCAATTCTAGCCCAGGTGAGAGCCGCAGAAATTCTTGCCTAATATTGCCCAAAAGCCTAAAACAGGAATAAAGTCTACACTGCCCCACTTTGTGCATCATGAGGACAAGAACAGCTGTTTATATTTTCTCTCTTCTCAAGGAAACTCTAATAGGAAATTGCTGAAAGCTCCATCCACCAGCACCATGTCCTCCTCGGATGATTTTGAAGAGAGAGATTCCTTGCAAACTTTTGAAAATGGTAAGCCACACATATATTTGACTCACGAGGTGGAAACCATGCTTGCGTATCGGCTCCTTTTCATGCTTTAATGCTCTTTCTGCAGAAAACGGTACATCCCAGCAGCAGTTTAAGAACATCGTCCTCTCCAGCGCAGCGCAGACCCACCGGCTCCGGAAGCTGCGGGGACCATCCAAGTGCCGGGAGTGCGACACCTTCATGGTCAGCGGCTTCGAGTGCGAGGAGGTGAGGGCTAGAAGGTGTCGCTGCAGATGCCTTGCGTGGGAGCCTGGGGTGACCATCGCCTCGCTGAAGGTCCGCGGGAAGGAGGGGCCCCTCTCCAAAGTTCGTGCTTTTTCTTCCTCTGCGTGACACAAGGCGTGTTTTTCCGTCCTTGAGTAAGCCACCAGCTGCCACTTGCCTGAAACAACCCTCTTGGCGTTGGTGGGACGCGGGTGGCTGAGGGAACAGGAGAAGTCCTCCAAGTTCAGCCACTGCTGCAGTGCTGGACCACAACCAGACCATAACTCGCGGCCGTTCTGCCATTTCAGTGCTGCCTGGCCTGCCACAAGAAGTGTCTCGAGAACCTGCTCATCACCTGCGGCCACAAGAAGTTGCCCAACCGAGTACCTCTTTTCGGCATTGACTTCACGCAGGTTCCTCGAGATTTCCCAGAGGAAGTTCCCTTCATAGTGGCAAAATGCACCTCAGAAATTGAAGCCCGTGCCCTCGGGGTGCAGGTGAGTGGTCAGTTATTCTTGCTTTGGTGGTCTTCTCTCCGTATCCAAAACTCCTGACCTCTCCCCCTCCGAACCACGCAGGGGATCTATCGGATAAGTGGATCCAAAGCTCGGGTAGAAAAGCTGTGCCAGGCGTTCGAGAACGGACGGAGCCTCGTGGAGCTCTCCGAGCACTCCCCCCACGACATCACCGGCGTCCTGAAGCATTTCCTGAAGGAAGTGGGTACCAAATCTCTGCCGGGAGGCCAGGCCTCAGCTGACCGCATTCCTCGGTGCCAGCCCAGCAGGATGAAGTAACCTGCTGTTTTCCTCCCCTCTCGCTGCAGCTTTCGGCACCGGTGCTACTGTCCCAGCTCTATAACGATCTCATTGCGCTTGCCAAAGATTTGCAAAAAAACGGGGAGGAAAAGTCGGACTGCGCAGGCTTCCCTTCAGACCCCATCCAGAGCATGAAGGACTTGCTGAGCAAATTGCCTGGAAGCAACTACAACACTCTGCGGCACCTTATCGCACACCTGTACAGGTGAGGAGCGTGCTGGCTGTCACGCCGGTTAGCGTCAGGTCTGACCACACATCTCTGTTGAGACCTCGCTGCCAGAGGAGCGGCTAGCACAGCACCAAGCGTGTACGAGAAGATCGTCTGGGCTTCCTTGACCCGGGAGAGCCAAGCAGGCAGTTGAGGAGGGTAAAAAATTCATTCATGGGAAGGACCATCTTGCAGCAATTAGGAGAGAGTCTTAATGACTGAGAAGGACCAGAAGGTCCTTACTGATAATGCTTCATAAAGCACAGCGCAAGAGGTCAAGGAATAACATGAATCAAGCCCTCTTTCGCCCAGCTCTGAGCGCAGGTCACAAGAAGTGGCCACTCTTATTAGGGCTGCACCATCCAGACAGATCCAGGCAACTTCTGAGATTTTTCTCTGGAGTTTCCCTGCACAGACCAGAGCCCTGTTCCCCATAAAAGATGGGGTTTCTCTCTCTACTAGGAAATGGGGGTTTTGGTGCATTCCATCTGTGTGCTCAGTGCATTCGGGTTGAGAGCTTGGGAAGCCCCTAACAGTCCTGTTTCCCTTCCCCAGGGTGGCAGAGAAATACGAAGAGAACAAGATGTCCCCAAACAACCTGGGCATAGTATTTGGGCCAACTCTGATCCGGCCAGGCTCAGGGAGCGATGTCTCAATGTCATGCCTTGTTGACTCTGGGTATCAAGCCCAGATTGTGGAGTTTCTCATTCACAACTACGAAAGGGTGTTTGGGATGGATGACCTGCCTTCATCCTTATCCCTTGGATGTGAAAATCCTTCGCAAGAAGCATCGACAGAAACGGATGAAGGACCTCAGAGCCCAGACACAATCCAGAATATAACTCTAGAGGTAGAGCTCCCAGACACTGAGCTGGGCTTACTGACCTTGCTGTAGAGACAGGAAGGTGGACTAGCAATTAAAGAGAACTTTTCTTCATGGATAACAAAACCATTTGCTATCAGGGGGTTATTCCCAGAGAGCCTGTTGCACATGGAGTGGGAGAACCAGGAAAAAAGCTGTAAGCCACAGATCACTCAGCAGCTTCTCAAACCACTCTGGATGGTGGTTTTGCTCCATGTTTTAGATCCCAGTCATTCTGAAAAATTGCGGGGTTCTGCATACCAAATTGCTTAGGACACTGCTGTTTCTCTCTGTAAACAGCTCTAGAACTTTGGAAGCGGCTACGTGCACTAAAGACCCAGCGCATTCCCCGGTGCAGCCCTCCAGGGCTCTGCTGCATCCCCGAGCAGTGGCCACAGACCCTGGTTCTTCCCCCACCCACTACCGAGTGTTCTGCATTCTTCCCGGGCTCCACGGCTCTTTCCTCACAATATTTCACAACCTATTTCACAGCACTTTAAAAACACAAATGGGCATAGCATCCCCGAGCTGGGACACAGTGGGTTTGGTTTTTTCTTTCCTTTTCGCAGCTGGTTTGATGAGCAAGAAAGAGGAAATGACTTTCCTAAAGTTAAGCCGAATGGAGTGAGATCTGGGTTCGGGGACTCTGCCTCCTGCTTTTGAGTCATGGGTGCTTATGTGCAAGACAGCGTGTCTGCCGTGACCGCATCCATGTCTGACACACAGTAACGCTGCTTTCTCTACGGGTCCAGCTCACTGAGGAAGCAGAAATTAGAATAACTATGATTAGAGTTGAAATAAAATCACCAGGGTAGACGCAATTCACTTCTGGTGTGCAGAAATCCGACAGGATTAATAAACCTTCACAGAAAGCACTTTGAGATACACACAACTATTGCTTTTGGCTATTTTCAAAGCCATTTTTATCTGCTTCTGCAGCGTGGCTGAATTCCACAGACCTTTAGGTCACAAACCTTTAAAAAGGGGAGTTGCTTCTCGGGGCACTCTTGTTCAGCCATCAATGAAAGCGACCTCTGGAGCCCCTGGCCAGGTGACCTGCTCCTTGTGCAAACTCACACTGGTTCCATACTAACTGCAGCTCCCAGGCACTCCCGTGTCCTTCACTCGCCCTCCCATTTGCATTTGACCATAATTATCGTGCTACAGTTAATGACTTGGTTTCTGATGTTTCCCCTTTTTGTTCTGAAACGGGCTACTTCAGCATCCGCAGGACACGGGAATTGGTCTCGGCGTGCTGCTGCTCGGCAGAAAGCATCAGCTGCTTTCTGGGGCGAGTTTTGTGGCAGTTGCAGCACAAATGCTGGAGTCAGCAGGTCTCGAACCATAATTTTAGAATAGAATAGAATCGTTTAGGTTGGAAAAGACCTTTAAGATCATCCAGTCCAACCATTAACCTACACTACCAAGTCTACTCTAAGCCAATCAAGGGTAGACTAGACTAAACCGTGTCCCAAAGTGCCACATCTACCCGTTTTTTGAACACTTCCAGGGATGGTGAATACATTTTGTCTCATGACCCTGGCCTGTGGCCTGCTGCAAGCTCCCTCCCTATTCCCCCAAGTGTTAGATAATCCACGAGAAATCAAGGTATTTTCACCTCAGGTGGTTGCCGCCTCTAACAGCATTTGGGGTGAAGTGGGAGCTGAAACATCTTCATGTCAAATAAGAGTCCTGTATAAACACTCGTGGCTTTTTCCAACAGAATTTCTCCTCCAAGCATGGTTTAAATGTGGACTGTGTCTCTGATAACTCGTCTTCCAGGGAAGCCGTCAATGAGCTGACTCTGGAGGGAGCTCACAGAGCATTAAGCGTGGATGCCCTAGGTAAATAAAGTGGCAATCGTGATGCTGTTCTAGGTCGTCTTGTTTGCTGGTTTTCACAGCTCCTGCCTGCCTGCTTCTACATTACGCAGCAGAGAAAGCATAGCTGGGCCCTCTTCGGCATCGCTGCTCAGTCTTTGTGCAGATAACCTACCGCAGAGCAACCGCCGCGTTAGCTCGCATGAGAACGCGAGCGCGTCTCCTGCTGTTCCCAGGAAGGGCTTTTCCCCGCCGCTGCCTCAGCCCTCGAGCCCACAGTCACCTCCGCCAGCTCTCCTGGCTTCAATGCATCGAGGACAGCTTTAACAACATAAACCCGATTCACCTCTCATACCTCTTTCCAACGCACACCTTGCCATTGCTCCTGATTAATGAAGCTGTTAGAGGGAGGCATTTAAGCTTGTTAATGCAGGAGGGATTTCGGTGTCTTTTCTAACAGGAAAAGTCAGCCAGAATTGTTTGTTGTAGAAGAGTGAGACTAGGTTCCTAAGATAACTGTCTAATTTTTTGTTCAGAGATGAATACAAGCATTGGCTCTGAGCTGGAGGACCTGGAGGACTCTGTGCAGGAAAAGACAGACAGCGATTCGGACACGGGCCCGGGGACCCAGCCCAGGTGCCATTTCAGCCGACAGCCTGTCAAATATATTCGAACGCAGGCAAAAATGAAACCGGTCATTCCCAAGTCTTCCAATTTGCCCTTGAGGACTACCGCATTAGCCAACGTGGCAACGGAGTCTGGTGCAGATGGCAACCCTACCGACAGCAGCTCCACGACGAAGGACGTGCTGGAGGAGAGCGCTAGGAGCAGGAACGCCGACACAAGTGTACTCAAGCAGCGCCCAGGAGGGAGGCAGCAGCTCAAACATTTTGAGATCACGCAGGAAACCGCCAGGATTGTCTCAAAGTTTCAAGTCAATGACACTTCTGCGTCCCCTGAGCCTTCTTCGGAGAGCATGGGATCTACTGAGAAAGCAGAGAACTTCGACCCCGGGACATACCTATAGAAAACACCCTACGGGCAACAGATAATAGCAATGGAAAGGGAGAGAGGCCTGAAATCCCACACCTGCTGAATAAAGGAATAGCGATGGGGTGAGAATAACATCTATTTGTGTTTACCATGCAGGCTGGAGAAAAGGCACCTGCTGTGAACTACCTGGCAGGCTTTCAGCGAACCCAGGATTTGCTTTTTATTCTATTCATTAACAAACCCAAATGAGCGATAAGAAGCAAGCCCAATGGCTCTCTCTGGAACATGCCCTGCTTAGCATGAAGGACAACGCAAGAAACGGAGATTGCCTGGGTAGAAAGATGTAGCCTGGCAGGAGGCAACTGAAATGTAGGACATTGGACAGAAAACGTTCCCAAATGGTCATTTTCTGGCAGCTGCAACAAGCACCGATATTTTTTTTTGGTCATTTTTATTTCACAGCGTTTTTGAGTGTAACTCCCTTTTTGAATGTAATAAACCAGAGTACACGTGCAAAGCTCACGTACTCCGGATCCTTCTGCTTCTATTGCCGGAGCTTCAACTTGCTAGTCAGCACAAAGCCATTCTGTAAAGGGAAAAGACACTGCTGCACTGAGCCACACCCCATTTCTCCAGAACACGAATCCCATTTCCCACAAAGCACGCTGAGCTTCTGCAATACTTCCGCGTGAAGCTGCTGCTGTCGTGAAGCTGGCAAAGCCCTGAACAGATAAGAAGATTTCTTGGGTCAAAGATGAGGTTGCTCTGACTTGCTGGGTCTCCAACTCACCTACGTGTAGGTTACCCCAATGTTGCTTTCTGCCCCCCTGCAGCGGATTTTCTGCCCACCAAATTTTACCATGAGGACCGGGAGGACTCTGTCCTGTAGTGCCATCTCGTGACGCGTGCGTGGGGAAGCCAGGCTCGCTCCCGGGGATAGCTTTGCATTATAGGATGGGCAGTGTTACAGATTTCCTTGGTGTTTGGCTGTGTGTACAGCACGAAATTGAAATGGCAATGGAAAAAATCTGCAGTAGGGCAGATCTCAGCGATTACCATTGGCTGCAAAGACACTAGGAGACATACGAAGACCCCAGAGCTAAATGCTAAAACGTTACGCTTCCCCCAAACAGCTTGGGACATTAAACAATCTACTTTACAAGTTTCTTTTGTCTCATCAAAAGACTTTTACAAAACAGGACCAAAACATGAAGTTGTAAAAGAACTGCTAAGGATCTATTCTTAGTATTTGTACAGTTCAGGCTAAAGAGAGTTTGCATCCTGGAGCAGTGTATATTTGTTAATATAGCGCTCTGATTTCTTGAATACTAAGTTATCTTTTACTTCTGTAATAAATTACTGGGTGTTTTCTTACAAGCTTATCCTGTATTTGATAAATGTGGATAGGGAAGCCTTAAGTAAACACTTAATGGACTATTACTGAAAGTGCCAAGTGCACTGCGGTCTCTATAAAACAAAGGCAACGCTTGCCTACAAGAATTTATAATTTGAGGAACCAGCAGAGCTAGAATAATATCGCTGGTAAAACCCTTAGTTTCCTTTTCCTGCTGCACACTGAGTTAAAGGGGAGATTCATTCCACACAGGAGAAGTGTCAGGGGCTTGTAGAGTACAACTCCTGCCATCCACCGCTGCCCTCCACTTTTCCTTCCAGCAGTCCAATACATACAAAAATGCTATTAGAGAAAACACACTTGCTCTTACCTTGTAACTCCTCATTACTTGCCGCTTTCCGCAGAGCTGGTAATTTGTTGAGGGTAGGAGCTGCCAAAGCAACGCGTCCAGCCAGCGTTGCACAGCTGCCAGGTCCCACTCGCGCGGGGAGAGCTTGGATGCAAGGTCCCAAACATGCCTCCTCCTGCTCGGGATGGGGATTTTCTGTCATCCAGCCACAGCTAACGTGGTTTGGTTTGGAAGCTGAGACGCGGAATTGAAGAAGAAACTTGGCAGGGAGGGAAGTGTCATTTCCTCAATTCCTCTCACCTCCTCAAGGCTGCATCTCCACGCCAAAGCAACAGCCTCAGCTGTGTTTTTGTACAGCAAGGGGCAGGCAACAGTCCTGGGAAGCACTAACAACAAGCAATCTTATTCCCCAAGTCAAAGTAGGAGCAGAGAAGGTCTTACAAACATCCTCTTTGCACAGCAGCACCTTAGACAGGTGGCTGCCTGGCCCTCTAACTCAGAGCCACCCCACAGAGGATAGCAGCAGCGTCTGTATAATCAATATACAAAACCATAGCAACCCTCTCAAGAAACCTTTTATCAGCCAACCAACCAATAAACCAATTTCTGACTACAAGCTTTTTTTTTTTTTTTTTTTTAAATCAGCCAATGTGAATTCAGAGCACAATGCAACGATCTCATCTCAGCCAGTCAATGTGCTTCCGAGCATCAATCACTCCTCACGTCATTAAGTAAATTAAAGACCCCAGGTCCTCACAAATGAGGATCTCAGCTGGGCTGCATGTGCTGGACTCTGAATTGAATTAGGAAAATTCAGACACCTGATCATTTTAAGCAAGGACTAAGAGATTCCTTTTTCTTGGAGAAGCCAGTTGGACTTTGTCATTTGCTAATCACCAAGTGTTTAATTGTCAGCAGGCTAGTGACAGATTCTGCCCCAAATTTCCTGCCCTCAAAAAAAGGAGCTCTTTAGTTTACTTTTATCCTTCTGGGGAAAAAAAAAAAAAAATCAAAGCAAATAGACCTGCAGGTATCAGGAGTCTCAAGGGGAAAACTTTCCAGGTTTTTCCGGCAGAGACTGCTGAGGGATTACCTTTACAGGGTTCTAACGCAGCAAGGTAGAGCAAGGCGAAAGGCATTACATTTTTTTAAGGAGCTCAAGGCTTTGGTCCAATTCTTGATCCCATCCTTCTCTTTTCCCTTCTTTTTTTTTTTTTTCCTTTCTTCCTCATTTTAAGTTTTGTGCTGTTGTTTCTTATGATCTAATTGGAGAAGCTAAATGGAGATTAAACCACACCTGTCAGACATTTCTTAAAATCACCCCCAGAAGGAGAGTCTGCAAAAAAAGACGGCTCAGGCCATTTATTAGCTTGAAACAGGCTTCATTCACAGGTGCTTCCTTTTGAACCATTAGCGCTTCTCCATCGTTTGCCTTTGAACCAGCATCCCTAGAATATAAAGGCAGGGATGCGTGGCTGGCTTGGAGCCTGAGGTTTTGATGGAGGCACATGGGAGTCCAGTGGGATTTGTTACTGGTTTCCCAGGAGCAGGCTTTTTTTCTAGGAGCTTTTACGCTTTGCAGGATCCATTCTCTAAGGGTAAGAAGCATTTGATTATCAGGCTGTGCCTCTCAAAATGTGGTACGTTATAGAGTCTTTGTTATTTCTTAAAGCCAAGGTGAATGCTAGGTAGCATCACGAGAAGCTGCCTCCATAGACCGGGGCCCCTTTGTAGGGCATCTGCTGCATGCTTTGGGAGGAGTCGCTGGGGCACGCGTGCTCGCCGCAAGCCAAATCTCTGTGGCCTCTGTGTAGCGTGCATGCACGCGCGCCCTTGGAGCGTGCTGCGCGAATGCTTGCAAGGAGATGAGCTGTTGCTGGCTGTTTACGTGAGCGGATGGGAAAGGTCTTTCCCTGAGTCAAGAAGGGGCCAGCAGAAGCAGCTATTTATAAAATGGCAACCGCTGCCTTCCTGAGGCTAGCGTGGGCATGGCTCAGGCCTGTGTTTGGGTGGGAGGCTTCATTCCTCGTGCACGAGCGGCGTTTGTTGTCACCCTTGTGCAGGGTGCTTCCTTGCTCAGCTATCACCAAAGATCAGCCTAGGCTGCTATGTTCTGCCTCGCTACTCTAGCAGTTACTAACAGGCACCAAATTTGCTTTTATTCCCTTTTCTAAGCCGCTTTGCTGTCTCGTGCTATAGCGGGTGGTTTAGCAGGAGCGGCTGCGCATGCTGTTGTTTAGAGTTAAATGGAATTATTCCTAGCCATACCTTGGACATTAACACATCTGCAATACTGCAGGGCATAAGATGCATCAGTATTATTGCATACTTGTTTTATTTTACTTTGAAAGCCGCCTTCCAACAGTCACTAGCAGATCAGATGAGGCAGTGAAAAGTGAGCTCCTCTGCATGTCTTGCTGGGAGTTCATGCTGCTGCAGACAAACAGCTTTTGTTTTCTTCTTCTCTCTCCCCCCTGCCCCAGTAAGCTTTGTAATATTCTTGGCTCTGTGAAGGTACAGAGTAACGGTACCTGTAACCATATGGAAGATGGGAGAGCGAGTAAACCAGGCATACGAATTTCTGATCGGCCCAAGCTGCCACATCTGAAATTCAGAAAACACTTTGCTTGGGGGATTTTTGCTAAAGGTGCGGAGTTACAATGCGCTTCCATCCTTTCATTTGCATCACAGTGCCCGTAGGTGTCGTACACCTCGGTGTGTTCAAGAAAAGCACTTGCAAAGGGAAGTCTGGAATGAACTAAATCAACTATGCATGTCTACGCATTCAGGCCCACAGCTTGTGGCTGGAATCCTTTCAGGGCACTGGCTGCTCTCCTCTATCATTTATTTTAAAAAAAGATGTGTAGAGCTGTAATTCAAGCTTTGCTTAGACAGCAAGTTTCAGATACTTGGCATCCAGGGCCATGGAGACGGTCAGTTTTGTAGGTATCTTATAAATGGGCTTCAAGGGAGCTGTATTTTTCAGTATAAATCTGTTTAATAAATGCACGTGTAGGCTTCCCATGCCCTTTACAAGAATGACTTGGTTAAGGGAGTATTTTTCTTAGAAGGAGCAAGAGCTTTCCTGTTGCTTTGCAACAGAAGAAGCCATCTGAAGTAATTTTTTCCCACTAGAAATGTGCCTAAAAGCTCAAGGCTTTAGGAAGTTAGTAAAACACCACCGAAAATGATCAGAAGTTCAGGAATTAAGCAAGCAAAAGTAGAAAAGGCTGTTTCATTTGTAATGGAAACCTTGAATGTTACGGGCCAGGCTGTGGCCTGAATCTATCGAAATAATTTCTGTTACCCCACGCTTACCGATACGCAAAGG